TCATTTTTTTTACAAAGTAGATTTTTCACATCACACAACTCAGTTAATTGATTGTCACCTGTAAAAAAATTCAACGGAGAGACCAAAAGGGGGTTGGATTTCAACTTTTAGGGACTATAAAGAAAATTTTTCCAGTATAGGAACTAAAAATGAATTTTTTCCTATAATAGAGGGACCAAAAGGAGAATTTAATCAACTTTTATTGTGTTTCGGAACCCAATAACTGCTTTTAGGTCAACTTTGGTCGCCTCTCAACAGTATTGATAATAATTAAAAGTTGGAGAGGATTCAAAAGTAGAGAAGGCTATCTCCAACCGCAAGGAGCAATCAAAACCAAAAAGAAAGCAGGTTCCGCGGCGGCTCCACAATCAGGCTAGAGAATTAAGAGCTAGGCTACCATGGATCCTTCCTACCACCACCACCAACACCAACACCACCCAAGGTACGTTCCCTACTCCCCTTCTGTGCAACACACCGCCGATCTCTATGCTTCCCGCCACCATAACCACCACCACCATCTTGCTCCGCCGCCCCCTCAACCACAACATCACCAATCATACCACACTCTCCCTGCCCCGCCGCCACCTCCTCCACCACAGCATCATCCTTACCATTCCCACCATGCCCAGCTCACCTACTCCTCCAATTTCAACCCTAACCCCAATTCTACCCATCAATTCCGCGAACTCCCATCGCACCGACACCTTTTTGAAAAGGAACGTACTCATCGGGTCCCTGATGTTGATACCCGGGCTGACTTCTGGGCCAATAATCGGGGGCCAAGGCAGCATCCGGTTGCTTCTTTGGATCGGGAGTCGCATTATCATCAATTTAATCGCCGACCTGTCTCTCCTATTGATACTTTCAGGCATGATTTAGAGGGTAGTTCTAGGTTTAGGAATGAGTATGATGGTGATCGGTTTGAGGAAACTCAGAAAGCAGAAGACTTTGTTTGGGTTCATGGTGATCTTCAGGGTCCTGATAGATCTTCTAGGGATTTTGGGATTGTTTCTAAGGGATTTGAGTTGAACTCGGTCAGTGTTGATAACAGATATGAATCAGCTTACGATCATGAAGTGATTAGTAGAGGGATGTCTGATGGGGTGGCTGAAAACGTTAGATGGGGTCAGGATAGACAGGGATTGAGGGATTTACACCTACGTGATGAGTTAATTGAAGTGGGGAATAGTGATGTTGGTAATAGAGATGAACCACGAATTTTTTTTAGGAAACTTGAGTATCATGAGTCTGAAGTAGAAAGGTATACTGATAGAGGTAGTGGAGATAATAGTCGTGAATTTAATCACACTCCAAGAAAGCAAATCCAGAAGAGGAGTGCATTCCTTAGGATTCGGATGGCAAAACCCAATTATAGGAGCAGAGAAGATGAAAGGTCACATTACATGAGTCATTCTAGTGAGGTAAAGTTGGGTTCTTTTAGAGGGAAGGATCAGCTTGCACATTTGGATCATGGGATGGAAGAGGAAGGGAGAGAAGAAAGTGAGGTAGAGCTTGATGTGTCCTTCAAATCCAATTCATTGGTAGCCAAAGCAATTGTGGTATCTTCTAGTTCTCCACGTGTTTCTGATTCAAGTCTGACCCCTAGAGCTAGTAAGATTAGGAAAGCCATGCCTTCTAGTAAGGATCGTTCAAGTTCACCACTGACCAAAGTGAATGACGGGTCAGTAAAGGTGGATGATTCCACTCATAATAGTAATAATAATGCCCCAACTTCTGAGGACTTGAAACAGTCTGAGGCAAAAGGTGCTTCTGGTATTTTTGATGTGCAGGATACTGCTAGAAAGTCTTGTTCAAATGGAACCAATGCTTCACCTAGAAAGAGTAAGGTTGATAAATTTCCTAAAGTTGCTACAAAACATGATGGCTCTTCAAATGTTGTAAGTAATGCCTCCACTTTTGACAAGGATCCCAAACATTCTGAGGGGAAAGCCAAATCTTCTGGAACGGGTAACTTAAAAGATAGTGTTTTGCAATCTTCTTCTGGTAGGCTCAATGTTTTACTTGCAGAGAAAAAGGTTGATACTTCTCATAAGAGCATCTCTCCAGGAAAAGATGATGCTAATGCTTGTAGACCACCTCCAGTTAAGGCTGCCAAGAGGAAAAAAATTGTCAAGAAACTTGTGCCTAAAAAAGCAAATGTCTCTGCAAATAGTCCATCTGCCACCTCTTTGTCTGACAAGGGTGTTTCACCTTCAAAAAAGAAACTACCTCCTGCTGATGCAAAATTGGGGCATTATGTTTATCCACAACATTGTCCCATGGCTGACAAGCATGTTTCACCTCTGAAAAAAGAACTACCTCCTGCTGATGCACAATTGGAGTATGGTGTTGATCCACAATGTTGTCCTGTGTTTGACAAGTGTGTTTCACCTTTAAAAAAAGAAGTACCTTCTGTTGATGTGAGTTTAGTGCACAGTGTTGATCTGCAACATTGTCCTAAAGGAGCAAATCTGCATCCTGATAATGAGAGAATGGATGGAGCCTTAAAGGATAAAGCCATGGAGGAAGTTTTCACTGCTGTTAAACCTGATGGATCATCTGCTAATAAGATTAACAAAAAGAGGAAGAGTTTATCTCCTCCATTTAGTTCTTCAGGTCAGGAAGAGACCAAATTTGATGAGATTTCTGTAAATGCTGTAAATTCCAGCCATGGGCTCCAGACCATCTCAAATACTAAGGAGGATAGTATTAAATCAGTGAATGAAACTACTTCTGGTTTGTTAAGGTCAGAGGAAAGCATAGTTCATGAGAGTGTTACAGATACAAATAACTCAATTAATGAGATAGCTAGGTCCATTGATTTTGATAGTAGTTTAGCTAACTCACTGGACTTAAATATTGTTTTTGGTTCTGGGACTGTGGATGCTGGTGTTGAGCACAGTTCTGCTAATCTTACCAGTCCATTTGTCAAGAGAGGAAATATAGAGGGAATTCCAACGGCTAATTTTTCCACAGGAAGCTGTGAAATGCCCCTTCTGCCTCTTTCAGATGATTCTGGAATTCCAATTAGTCCTCTTTATGTGGACTGCTCTAACCACCATGGAGTTTTCATCTCCAATCCTGACAGGGATTTTACCAATTTAGGGGGGAGTAAGCATGACATAGGTGCTGAATTTGGTAACTACCTCTCTCCACAAGGGGTCACTGTATCTGATGAGAATGGTCACATGGATAGATCCCCCAATCCTATACCATCAGTTGGCAGAGAGGAAGATATGTCCGGTGTTCTGAAACCAGGTGCCGAAATATCTCATGAGAATGGTGGCACAGGAGGATCCTCCAATGCTATGCCATCAGTTGGCAGAGAGGAAGATATGGCTGATGTTCTGAAATCAGGTGTCGAAATATCTCTTGAGAATGGTGGCACAGGAGGATCCCCCAATGCTATACCATTAGTTGTCAGAGAGAAAGATATTCCTGATGTTCTTAACGATGCGAAAACTGGGATTGAAGAGTCTGACATCTCACACTCAGCATGTACTTGCATAGTTATAGCGCCTGCAGATCTAGTTAACTCTGCAAATTATGTGGATCCAACCTTTACTTTATCTGTTAAAGTTCCTAATCCTCCAGACACCACTAATGTTGGTTGTGTAGACATTGGCTTACAGCATTGTGTCAATGAAATTAGTGTGGTTCATGAGAGTGGTTCAAGGGATACATTATCAGAGGCTAGAATTCTGGTAAAAAATAGTTTAGATGTTAATCCAGATGTGTGTTCAAAGGAGAATAAGAAACAGAATGTCTCTTCCTCAAGTTCTAGTCTAACAGAATATGTGATAAGAGAGGGCCTTAAGGTTGCTGAACTGTCGAGTCCTGATGTACAACTACCAGCCAATTCAGATGATAATCTGTTACAGTCAGAAGAGGAGCTTACAGTATCTAGCATGGATGCTCTTCTCACCAGTGGTTTGCCACTGTCATCAGAGAGTACCATATTGCTGAACAATTTGGCAGATGAGTCCTCTCCAGCTGTGGGTTTAGATAGAGATGCCTTTAGGAATGATAGCGCAACTGTGGATCGCCTAGGAGGTTATTCTTATTCAACTTTTGTCGAGTCAGCTGCTGCAAGCCCATTATTGCTTTGTCCACCAGGGACAGGATGTCATCAATTGTCATCTGTAATGCCTGTTACAGCTGTACATAGTGACCCAATGGATATTGATGGTGACAACAAAGAAAATGCTATTGTGGAATCTGCACGAGAGCAAACCCTTATTTTTCATAAGGCTGCTCAATTCAGAACTCCTCCAGAAAATCAGTCTTCTGAGTTTGATCAGAGATTCCTGAGCACAGATGCAGAAGATTATGATAGTTATCCTTTTGTCCAGGAAGATTTACCTGCTGGGACAAATTCCTCAGTTATTGTGGCTGATGGTAACAGAGTTCCCACTACCAGCACCAAAAATGAACTGATTCCTGTACCAGGTATGCTTTCTGTTTTGGGTTCTCCAGAAATCTGTAATACCTCTATCATATGTCCATTAAGTGGGATAGCATCAGAAAGCAAAAAGTCAATAGAGAAGATCTGTAGTAGAGATGAAAATAATCTAGATGAGAATACTGTGATTGAAGGTGATTCTTCATATCCCCATAATTCTGAGAGTAATTTGAACCCAACTGATGCAATGGACACTGATCCATCAGTTACTGGGAAGTCAGGAGTATTACCATCAGAGGATTCTAAAATTAGGGCTCATGTACAAAATCCTACCAGAGAAGCCCATGGGAGTAAAAATCAGCTTAATCATGCTCCTCCCAGCAATCATCTTGGTCACTCATCAGTTGTTTTTACTGCTTTGAAGACTATGGTTTCTTCTGCCAGTCAAACATGGCACCGACCTGGTAATTCTGCTTCTCTTCCTGGAAACAAACCTTCCTTGAGTACTGTTCCTTCACAAAGACAGACGCCAGATAAAGTTCCAAAATTTCTGGCTACTTACATTCATAAAGGCAACAATCTTGTTAGAAATTCTGCTTCTCAAGAGAGTTCTTATACTTTGAGCTCATCAGTTTATCAGTTGAGCACTTCAGGTGTGGATGAGATGAAGAAGGGCACAGGAGCTGACAGTAGGGCTGATGGTATTGACTCATCAAATTTGCTGCCAGCAGGATTGAATGCAGCTTTTGAGAGGCCCAGAACACCCCCTCTTCCCAGTCTCACCAAAGCTCTGAATCATTCAGGTAATACTTTGGGAAAATGTACATCATCCTCATTAGCAGAACCTCCTTTGAGCAATTGTTGTGAACCTAGAGATTATACAGCTTCCTTGGAAACTAATGATCTGTTAGATTTATCAGAAGATGGATTAAAGGATTCTGAAACTCGAAATGAAAATAGTTCAGTTATCAATTTGGATGGTCAGACTGTACAAAATGATGGAAACTTGGTTTCTTCAAATGTGAAGAGAATAACTTATGTAAAACCAAAATCAAATCAGTTGGTTGCAACTTCTGATCACTGTAATACATTAATTCACAATTCTGGGAAGGACCAAACATTTATCTTCTCGAATGATGGTTACTACAAGAGGAGCAAAAATCAGTTAATTAGGACTGCCTTGGAGAGTCAAAACAAGCAAACAGTTACAATTCCTGATGAAAAGTCAAATTCAGCCAGACAAGCAGCTCCTAAAGTTATCTCTGGCAGAACTTTTAGCAAGAGGCAATCACAAAAAGGTATGCTTAAATGAAATTATTCTTCCTAGAACCTTCTATTATTTTGACCTTTTCTTTATCTTTGTTCAATTCATTGAGCAGCCAAGTCTCTGATCTGCTTCATAGTCTTTGGCAGAGAGTAGCTTTTATTAGATGTACACTCTGCCTAATGTTTATCTCTTAAGAACTGAGGTGCACGAATTCTTCCTTCCTTATTTTACCCTTCCTCTGTGTGTTGTTTTGCTTTATTATTTCCTAAGGTTCTTACAGTTATACATTGTTTCTAGTTATTAGTTTTCAGGCAAAGAGACATTGTATATTAAAATTTTTAATCACTTCAATTCATGAGAAATGTCTCCCTGCAATTTTATAATTGTTAACTATAAAACCTTCTTTAACTTCCTATCCACCAAAAGAAAAGTAAACAAAAGAGTATGCATTCTATTTTAATTGGTCTCTATTAATCACTGCTAGTTGTATAAATTATTTATTTTATTGTTCTATTGTTAGCCATCTACATGTGTAGTTTGAAAGTGAACCCTTGGTGTTTTCAGAATCATTACTTTTGTCGGGTGAATCTTGAATGTCAGGTTTGCTGAGTTTCATTACCTTGTACTGATGTGATGAATACTATTCCACAATAACTTACATGGTGTACCCCTTTGCAGTCACAGCAAAGAACTATAAACCTTCCCAATTGTCTCTAGTGTGGACCCTACATAGTGGATGGTTATCAAATAACTATGTTGATTCATTGCATCATCCTAAGTTCTTTCCTCAAGTGTTCCCCTGGAAGAGAGTAACTTACTGGAGAAGTTTCACGATCAATTCAGTTTCTTGTCATAATAGTCCCATGTCTTTAATTAGGTATATTTCCCACCCTAAAGCCTGTTTTTTAAAATTACCATGTATTTCTTGTTTATCAAAAAATATTTATAAGCTGCCAAGAAAATACTAAACTGTTAATCTTTTGCAGTCAGAAATTGCTGCTGTCAAGAAAGAGGAATACTATTTACACTAGGTCTATTAACGGATTTTCTCTTCGAAAATCCAAGGTGTTAAGTGTTGGTTGTTCTAGTTTGAAGTGGTCTAAATCTATTGAGAGCCACTCAAAGAAAGCTAGTGAGGTTGGTGTTGCACACACTAGCACACTAACTCTATCCCTTTTAACATTTATCTTGGAAGTTGAGTTAGGATTGAGTGCTGAAACAATTTCATTGTTCTTGACAATGATTCTTTACTTGTTTAACAGGAAGCAACCCTAGCAGTTGCTGCAGCAGGGAGGAAGAAAAGAGAGCTAAGTGGCACTGGTTTCAGTCTTTCTGGAGCAGACAATAAAATCAATTTCTCCAATAAGTCTGTTCATGGTACAGAGCTTCGGCCTGGTAGGTCAATTAATATTCACAACATCAATTAATATTCACAACATGGCTGATGCAGCAAGGTTTTACATTTTGAAAAAGTGGTTGCTGCATTTCATTTGTTGTCCATTATTTTTTAAAAACGTGCTTTAAGATTTCATGAAGATGAATGATGTCTAATATTCATTTTAGGGGAACACATATTCCGCATTGGTTCTGTGCGCTACAAAATGGATTCTTCAAGACAAACCCTTCAGAGGATATCAGGTCACCCAATCTAGATATATGTTGTGGTTTGGTAGATCATTCATTTTTGTTCCTTCTCTTTCTTGAATCTGACTGTTTATCCAAAGGCAAAACTTAATGGAGTTCTGGGCATGCATCTGCAAATGCTACTAGAGAACTATTAATGTTGATGGGCATAAAAAAAAAAAACTGTTAACATTGATAGCAACTGTTCTTCGTTTTTATTATTAAAAAGATGATCTCGTAACTCTATTTATGGCTGCAGGTGATGAATCATCATGTTCAGCTGGTTCACTGTTAGAAAACAACACAAAGAAATCTTTTGTTCCAAGGAGATTAATTATCGGCAATGATGAGTATGTTGATATATTCTTGTTATCACTTTTAGTGCATTAAGTAGCTAGTACTGTACCACTGTTTCTGCACTTAAGTGTCAGTTTTGTTGTTTTATCTTTTTATCATTAACTGCAGAGTCTGCACTTAATGATAATAATAATATTAATCTCCAAAATTTGGCAGGTATGTTCGAATTGGAAATGGTAACCAGCTTGTTAGAAATCCTAAGAAACGCACTTGCGTTTTAGCAAGTGAAAAAGTTCGGTGGAGTTTGCACACTGCCAGATTGCGATTGTCAAAAAAACGAAAGTACTGTCAGTTTTTCACAAGATTTGGTAAATGCAATAAGGATGGTGGGAAGTGCCCCTTCATTCATGATTCCTCAAAAATTGCAGTCTGCACAAAATTTTTGAAGGGTCTATGCTCAAATCCAGACTGCAAACTGACTCACAAGGTTTATCACTGATCTAGTTAATTTGGTCTATTGATGGAGATTAGCTATTATCTTGTTTAGTTGTTTTATTTAATTTGAATTTCTCATGCAGGTTATTCCTGAAAGAATGCCAGATTGTGCATATTTTCTGCAAGGTTAATTTTTGCTACGTTGGGTGTACTTCTTATGTCTTTATTTGCCACTGTAAAATTCTGACAAATTTACTGGCAGGTTTATGCACAAATGAAGAATGTCCTTACCGGCATGTGCATGTGAATCCGAATGCCTCTACTTGTGAAGGATTTCTCAGGGGCTATTGTGCTGATGGCAATGAGGTATGGTTCCTCATCACTGTGTTATGCTTATGCTTTTCATATCTTGCAAACAGATTCAGTTATCTTTTGTTTGGTAATGGCTAGGTTTGTGCATATCATAAAAATACATGCGTTCAGTAGAATCAAAAGACTAGTAAACTGTTGATTAGATGTTTTCCTTTTATGTATTCACGTTGATTCATTTTCCTTAGAAATGATAACACTAAGAGTTTTATGTTACTGCCTTGTATTGTCAATAAAGATCATAGATAGAAAGATAACGTTCTGTTAGTCTGTTAATTTGGTTGCCTATAATGAGGTAAATTTGGTCATTTAACTGTTTTCCACTTGGTCAATAAAAATGAAATTTTGCTTGAATCTCTGTCCCCATGCAAAATAGGATTCAGGTCCTTTTTTGTGTCTTAGATTTTCTTTCAACTGCTACTGCCCCACCCCCACTTCTTCTTCTCTCTCTCTCTCTCTCTCTCTGTGTCACATGAGCATCCAAGATCAAACTCCAGAGTTGATTTGAATAAGTAAAATGGAATGCATCTCTGCTCTCAGTGTCGGAAGAAGCACAGCTATGTATGTCCCATTTTTGAAGCAAAAGGATCCTGTTCGCAAGGATCCAAATGCAAGCTTCACCACCCCAAGAAATGGAGCAGGTCCAAGAAAAGCAAGCGGTCAAGGGAACATAAGAGTGCGCATGGGCGATACTTTGGTTCCATGCATGTTGACATTTCAGAGCCAGGAAGAGTGGTGGGTGAAAGGCAACCAAGAGTTGATGATAATTTATGTGAAGGACAATTTTCTGATTACATTAGCCTTGATGTTAGCGATGAAGAAGCTGAGGAAACTAATGATACAATGAGTGATCAACCAACCTTTGGTGATGATGATCCTTGGGATTCACAAACTGATGATCTTGAGGAGCTTATCAAACCTATTGGTATAATGAATAGGAATCTGACAATATAATCATCTTTGGAGGGCAGGTTCTCAAGTGTGAAGAGGAGGACATGTGAGCTTACCATGTGGGGATTCAATCTGTTTTAACCACTGTTAGATTTACCTAGGTTTTCCTCTCTGCTTTTTCCTTTTGTAAATTTCCTCTTTAAAGGGATATGCTATTCTCATGGCCAAAAAAAAAAAGGGCTATGTTTTCTCTTACGAACTGTGTATATTGGATTCTGAAATGAAATCTAAAGAAGCTTTTTAGTTGGTGATACACTTTTATTTTTTATTTTCCTGCTAGAATAAAAATTGTCAGGTTTATTTATATATTTTCGCCCTTTTCTCTCTGCCATAAAGCCTGCTCATTGCTGGCTGATGAATGTAAATCTTATCCACAAAACTAGTGGATGAAACTTCGTTGGCTCAATAGGAAAAAAACAAAACCTGAGGTCCTTTAAAACCAGTTCTCCTATGAAAGTGTTGAAGACCCAGAAGCCAAATTCAGAGTATTCAGTCATGGCAGCGACTTCCTCTTACACTGCCTGCACAAAATTCCACAAGTTGGGTTGGACTGAAGGGAAAACAGTTCTCAGAAAGAGAAGGCTTCTTCCCGTCTCAGCTCAACAGCGAGCTCAAGTACAAGAATCAGAGGGACCAAATATGGCGGAAGAGAAAGAAAAAGTGAAACAGACACAACCAAGACCAGTCGAACCACAGGTGAACGTGAAGAACAGAAACATAACCAGAGAATATGGAGGGCAGTGGCTTAGCAGCGTCACCAGGCATGTCAGGATATACGCTGCCTATATTGATCCAGAGACCTCTGCGTTCGACCAAACGCAGACAGATAAGCTCACCCTTATACTTGACCCTACTGATGAGTTTGTCTGGACTCCTGAAACCTGCAACAAAGTTTATTCATACTTCCAGGAGCTTGTGGATCACTATGAGGTAAAATCTTTATTCTGTCACAATCACAACCACCGAAAAGATACTCAGCAATCCAAAGAAAATGGGTTTCGTAAGTTGTATGTTAAAATTTTGGAAACAAAGCATTTCATTTCTCCAGTGCTTTAAGCATTACTTCCACAAACTGACATATTTTTGTACAAATAGGGAGCTCCACTGACAGAATATACACTTCGTCTGATTGGCTCAGACATAGAACACTACATAAGGAAGTTGCTATATGATGGGGAAATTAAGTACAACATGAATGCAAGGGTACTCAACTTTAGCATGGGAAAGCCTCGCATTCTGTTCAATAACAATGATGGCCAGCTTCAAGATGAGCAGTGATGAGATTCCAAAACACTGGCTGGTAAAAAGAAGATTTATCCAAAATGCTGCTTTCGGCAGAAGATCTTCCACCATTAAAGGCTAGATCTCTGGTAGTGAAAGCAGATGCATGCATTTGTTGCCAATGAAGACTATAAGGTAGCAACTGGTTGCTATGGCTGCATTTATCGCTTTGCTTGCTTTTTGATCTTTGAGATTTGTGATGTCAGTTTGATAGAAGAACTTGAGATATTACATGCCTCCAAAAATGATGAGTCTAACCAAGGCTTGAATTGATCTTCCAAAGGAATATTCTGAGAAAAAAATATACCAATTATGTAGTGAGAAAACGCTGGTTTATATCAAGTTGACCAACCAATCATGTCTATTGATGTAGGCAAGCACACTCATATGCACAGGCTATAAGTGTACAATAATGAAGGGTAAGGAAAAAAGAAGCTCATGTTATTTATATATCTCCATATATCATCTTAAAGGTTAGAAGAGTCGAAGGAGAATGCGGAGAAAAATATCCAACAGCAAATTTATAGATTTCCCAAAGGTAAACATCTGACACATAAAAAGGCAGATACAACAAAGCAACTAATACCTGGCAAAAAAAAAAGAAGAAGAAGAAAGGCAACACACACAAAATATCTTTGATATATAGAAACCTCCTCACATTTATTTAACCACTTAGCCAATTCCTAAAACCACTAATTGGGATCCAAGCCCATTCTGTTTTCCCATTCCCCATGTTGTGCCTCTCATTTGCCCCAGCACAAGCCTGACCTTTGCTAGGAAATCAAACTAGCAACTAAGTGGTCAAGGACTGGACTTGTTTAAAACTTTTCATAAACAAACATGAAAAGCTGCAATGCATGAAATAGATTACTCACCTTCAACCAATAGAAAAACCCACGCAGTAAATTTAGGATTTTGTGGCGGTTACCCCTTGCTGAAGCAATATGATGATTGAGTTCTGCATGATAAAGATGATAATCATTAACTTAGATGCTTATTCTACTAATAGCTGTTACAGTAATTCCTGCTCTCGAGATTTCACCAATAAGCAAGTTCAATAAGGCACACAAAACAAAATAAAGTAACTCAACAATCATCAACTTAGAAGGCTATTCTTCTTAGGATTTTATTTTTATTTATTTGAGATTTTAGGATTATCTTCCTAAGAAACACCAGTTAAAAACCTCAGGTCCCTTTGACTTCAAATTACTGTTTGTTTTTTAACTTCATGGTGTTCAGCTGCAACTACCCTTACGTGGCTCAGGCCCAAGGCCACCTTTATTATTCAGATTTAATTAAATTTTGGAGTTTATTATGAACCATGATGGTTGTTCTTCTGTATTAGTTATTCCCCTGGATTAGTCATTGAACAAGCCTTTCATCATTAATCTGCTATATCACTTGCTAGTGAGTCGATCTAGTAAATTTTGAAACCCTAACTACATACAATATTCTAATCCTTTTACTTGACAGGGTATTGTATTTGAAATCAAGTGTAACAACAGGGGATTGGGGATTCAGGATAAGGGATTTTAGAATATACATAATAAGATAGCACTTAATATAATCACTTTAAGATCTATGATGGCCTATTAAACATATAGTTCCCCTGACCTCTTGAATAAAATATTGATATCTGCTTCTTCACTTAGAAACATAAGGTTAATGTATATCCAACTCTCCATATTAGGAGGAGCATGAAAGCATTAGTACATTGAAAGTTTTGAATGAAAATTATTATTCTGTACTCTTCAATCAATAATAGTCCTTAAATTCAATTAATAAGCATGCTACATGATGTGTTCTATAAACCTTACAGAAAAACTACAAAATTACATTAGTTCCATAAATCAAACAATGTTTAAGAGAATTTTCCACATTTCATCTCTAGAAGAATACATTTCAATCTGCAAACTCTCCAGTCATCAACAATGGCAAGAATATATAGTAGAATAGAGACTAGGATCAAGATTTTTTGAAGCTGGAACAATAATGGACTTCAGGGTTAAAAACTTTCACTCCTGAACTAAGAATAAAGAGATAACTTGGTCATTTCTGAATAACCATGCTGAAGTAATCACAAACTTGCTCATTATTTCCAAGATATTTTTCCTAAGTGCAGAAAGATCACAGGATCAATTTCCTAGGCTACACTATTGGCAATCAAACTTTCTTTTAGCTGAGAACTGAGGCCTTAAATAGAGATAAGCATACTTAGCATTTCAGTATCTACACTAGCAAAGCCAGAGATGAGCAGCTTATTATAATGAACTTCTTATTATAATGAACTTACCTCTGTAATCATCACAATATGATTTTGCACGAGTCTTTATTTTGTATGTTGTTTCCCGTCCATTACGCAGCATTCTGATCCCTTCCACTGGTCTTTTGAGATTAAAACTTTCCCAAAGATCGTCATACTCACTTTGACTAAAGGGTTCCTTAAGAATATCCATAAGTTTCTCCCTGAACAGAGACTGACTGGGAGCTTTAATCTCCTCGAAACTCTCTTCACCCAGCTTTTTGTTTCCAAAACAAACACAGCCAAAAAGACCATTCCCAATACTTTAGAAACATGCGAAAGTGGAAAATAAGAAAGAAACATAACCCAAAAAAAAACGTATATATGAATTAAATAAGAGAACAAATTTGCTTGATCAAAGATATTTACCAAACTAAGGTATCCTTTTGAAGATACACAGGGATTATAACATCCATCACAAAATGGATCCACCACCATTACTTCGGAATCAGAACTCTCATCATCCTCGTAATATATCCTTTTCTGACCAGCTTTGGGCAGTAATGCTAGACTTTCACCATTTGTCTCCAAAGACTTCAGGAACAGTAGATAGCTTTCGTCTTCAACATTGCACAGCATCTTATGATTCCCTTCAAATGTAGGAAAATGAGGAGCCGGCAGGCAATGTCTTTCGGGCACAATCTCAAGTTCCTCTGAACCACCCCCCAAATTTCTCTTCCCACTCTCTCCCTTTCTACGATCCTTTGGAGTTCGCTTATTCTCAAAGTCACAGAAATCACCATCTTCATCCTCGTACTTGATAACTAATAATTCCTCAGGAACTTCAAGCACATATGATTTCCCATCCTCTCTTGAATTTCTCAAGAATATCTCATAATTAGGATCCATATCTTCATCAACATACTCCTGAGATACATCAACCTCATCATCTTCATCAAAGTGATCAGATTGCTCTAAACTATTGCAGAACATTTCATATTCTGGATCCAGGAAAGCCACTTCCTTTCCAATACCTTTGTAACAAGAATTACCATGTTTCTCTGAATCCTTAAAGCTACTACTTGAATTTCTGAACATAAAATTTCTCTGGGCGACATGCTTCGTCTTCAAGCCCCTTGCCAACCTCAAGTCGACCTCAAAATCAGCAAGAACTAATTCCTTCTTCATCGTCCCTACACTAAAACCCAGAAAAATAAAACAAAATAAAAATAAATCTCCTTTTTTCCCTTCAAAATGCAGCAAAAATACTCGAAACTGAAACCGATTTTGTGCTAAACAAGCATCAGGTCATAATCTAGGCACAATTGCAATTTTCCCCCTAAGAAAACAGGAAAACGAAAACTAGAAAATGGGTTTTGCTTAAAAGAACACGAAAACATGCATGCAATTCATGCTAGCTCAACATTATGCTTACTTTCCTTGATTCCCTGAATTTTCTCGGCAAACAAACGGTGTGTCTGAGAAAGTAGAGCTGGCGACTTTAGTTCTGACAATTGGACCGAAGAGCCCAATTTCATTCAATAGTTGAGAACGGACCATGATAAGTGGGCCGTCAATTTTACTTGATACGAAATTATAAGCCCATAAATTCAACTGAATTGGGTTGGGCCTATGATTAAAAAATCATGAAATAGAAAATAGAAAAGAAAGAGAGAAAAAAAAACTTGAGTTGTAAGGTTAGGTCATGGTCATGGACCAGAACTGGACCGGAGTCTTAAAAGAGTGGGCCCATATAACTAACGTTCGCTAACCGGTCAGTTCCGGTGACCAGTCACCATCCTGAAAAGGCGGAAACTATTCCGGAGTCATA